ACCCAAGAAAAACCAAAACAATTCATTGATAAATACGTTTTTTATTAACTGCGAATACTGAGTTAGACATAAATTAGTGTTATTTCTCTTGTTGTATATGATATCAAAAGCAAAGCTGAGGAAGAGTATAACACCTACTTCGGTGGTTTCATTAATATATTTAATCTACAATATTCCCTGAAATATAGGCTTTATGCCTCTGTCTTCTTAGTTGCCAGAGGGCATTTATTTCATCTAAGAATCTGTTGTTTTATCCAGGCATGCAATGTGACATGAGGATCAAAGTAGAAGGGAAAATAAAATTACATTCATAAGAACTAACATAGCCTGAGGGGTAAAGTGTACATAATATCTAACATTGAGAAACTCTTATTCAAATTAGCATTGCAGATAAAGGATTAAAATGATATCCAATTCTCACATTTTCCCATGAGTGGTCAATAAATTTAATGCTTACAGTAAATACAAAGTTCTTTCTAAGCAGTTGTCAGTTAATGATTGACCTGACCTTTGAAAATATACTTTAGGACTTTCTTCTTCCCTTTCCCCAGCAAAAAGAAAGTCCAACAAAAATAAAACATTTAGGAACAGGATCCAGCATTTGTTGTAAGATAGTTGATTACAAAGGGATGTTTTATTATAGGTGACTGCAGAATTAGTTCAGGTAAGGAGACAAAGTGCTTTGTAGTTGTGTATGAAAAACAGAATATGGCAAGACTATGGCAGAAGAACCTGGCTCTAATTAAAACAGAATTTCTTAAGAAACTCTCTTTTAATCACAACTGCCTTTTTGGGGGATGAATCCAGCTCTTAAAATAATTTGCAATTAAAGAGGAAAAGCAAAGTGTCTTACCCTATGATAGTAATCAATCCAAACTATTATAGGTAAGAGGTATAGAACGTCAAAACTCAATCTTCAACTTCTAGGTTGATGTTAGAAAAAAAAAACTTTAACATCAGATAACTGAAAGTCATTCCCTGCCCCACTGTCAGATGATACACTATTTCATTTTAGTAAGACTACCTTATTTAAAATGTTTGCTTGCTTCAGCACATTGAATGAGGGAAAAACACTTATCTGTCCAAAGATGTATTTCAACAAAAATAAACCAAATCAAATTATTGGTTCCACAGAAATTCCAAACTCCACTTCGGCACTTACTTTAAGCCTAAATGTTCTTTATGTTGTTCATTTTTAAATGTATACCTTAAAAATATTTATACAAAAAAGAAAAGTCCAACACAAATTTTTTTCTAGTTTAGAACTATTAAAATTAGTCTTATAAGAATTCATATGCTTGAATTTGACACCAGACCTATCTCAGATCATTCTGTTCAAATCTATCAAAATAACATGATGCTTGTAGTTATTATTTCAGCCTGACAAAAAATTCTTCTGGTCTTCACTTAAGAGCTAGAGAAAATGGAAGTGGACTTAGATTTTAAAAAAAACAAACAAACAAAAACATTGTATAAAATGCTTTACATTCATGTAATGGACATATTCAAGATATAAACATTAAAAGGGCACTTCTGTAATAGACTAAGTCTAGGATCTGATGATCTAATTACTATACCAAAGAAAGAGAAGAGATCAAGGGGATGATCATATGCTTTGCATGCTGGAGGCCCAAGTTTCAATCTTGGCACTACATGGTCCCCTGAGCACTGGCAGAAGTGAAGTGTGAATACAGAGTTGAGAGTAGTCCCCAAGCACTGCCAGCTTGGGCTGTCCCCGCCTCCACATTTCAGCCCCACCACCAAAATCCTTTGATCAAACTGGACCTTGATTTCCTAATATCTAAGATAGACTGATCTAGAACTTGAGGTTCCTATTTCATTCCAGTGGTCTATAACTTGGTTCTAATTCAATGGAAGCACAAATTCAAACACCAATGCACCTTGCTGGAGGTGGATCAGTCCTTACGCAAATCAAACACCAGCGCCTCCTCCTTGTCTCAGTTTCCATCTATACTAAAGGCAGAATCTCAGAGAGTAGAATAAGCCCAAGTGAACTCATTTTTGACTTGAAGAATTTCTCTATAATGTAATTATTTAAATAGTGTTTAAGTTTAAATGCCAGTGTTGGGATTTTGGTCACTGATACTGTAAACAGGAAATGCTTGATGACCTTAATTTTGCTGCTGTTTAAATCCCACCCCCAGAGATTCTAAGTAGGCACAATCGGGCATCAGAAAGTTTACAAGCTCTCCAAGTGATTCGAATCTGAAAAAAGTACACACACACACACACACACACACACACACACATGCACGCACGCACACACGCATGCACACACACACACACATATACACACAAAGAGCAGTGACTCTATAACTTTAGAATAAATCTGCCATTTGGAGGAATTATTAATATAAATATTGCTGGGTGTCCTACTCAAGTCTCTAATTTCATAGGTCTGGGTTAATAAGTATTTGCTTTTCTAATAAATTCCAAGGAGTGAAGCTTTGTCCAAAAACCTCAGAGAATCACTGCCAGTAAGGGAATATCACTGATGGTGGTACATGAATTCCTAAGTTTAAAAACTCTGATTCTATTATTACCACCAATGAAATCTTGGGAAAGTAACTTGTTCTCTTTTCTTTAGTGTCTGTAATGACAGTTAGAGCTCTGAGTTGTGAGACATGAACAAATACTATACTAATCAGGGTTCTGTACATCACCCCACACTGAATGCAGACACAATTATTAATTTGCTTTTTTCACTATACATGGCCATATGGCATGACTATATTAAATAGCACAGACTAAAACTTAACAAAAAAGACAATGAAGCAATGTCATTGGAATTACATGTACAATAGAAAATAACAAATATAGAGGATTTTAAGTATGTGGTCTTAAAAATAATTTCAAACAATTTCTAAAACTTTGCGAGTTGGGCCTGGGGAGGCAGCTCAAGGGACTGGAGTGTACACTTTGTATATGGGAAGCCTGGAGTCAATCCTCCATACCATGTTGGAAGTAGTTCCCAAGCACTGCTGGGTGTGACCCAACCCCTCAACCCTCAAAATAAAAGAAAATGTAGTAATTTAGGTAACAACTACACTATTCAATGATAAAAATCCATTAGATTTCATCTCAAAAGAGCATGAATTTTAAATGCTCTATAATGGATTCAACACCTCATCTATGGTTAGTAATTTATAAGTTTTTAAAAAACACAAATAAGATTGTAACTAGTCTACCTGAATTTCCTACATATTGATGTCTAAATGCCACTTAATTCTGAAGTAAATCTAAATTGTCAAAGTGCATCAGAATCCCTGTTATCAACCAAAGTAAAATGTTTATCAACGATGGCATATAGAATAGGAGCTCTTTTTATTTACAAATAACAAACAAAAAACTGAATAATTATCCTTCTGGTTTGTAAATGTCAAGGTCCTCTCAGAAATAAATGTTCAAATCCTGAGGTGAATCCTGTGAGGTAAGCAGGCCCACTGCAGAAGCTGCTGCCTATGCTTCCAGACAGGGAGGGCACCAAGGCTTATACCTCTGCAGTGGGGCCAGTTGAAGTAAGAGCTGGAATACTGTCAGTGTATCTTGGTGGAATCTACAAATGCAGCTGTCTAAATAAATTTTGAAAGGTCTGACAGTGCAGGGTTAAAGGCACAAGTCTTATAATGATTGTTTAAAACAAGTTACTCCATAGGAACAGCTCACCCAAGACAAGGTCTCAACTGGGTTTACTCATTTATTTTTTGCTACCTAGGAATTTTCAGGGGGCTACTCTCAGTTTTGTGTTTGGAGGTTACTCCTGGCAGTGCTCAAGGGACCAGCACTAAACCTGCGTGTTCCCACACACAAACCAGGTGCTCAGTCCATTTCTCCAGCCCATGCATTTCTTTTTAAATTATTTTTAAAAGCCAGCACCCCCCTTGGTGGCTGATGTCATTATATGACAAATTCCTTTTTCTGCAGTCCTGAAAAAAAAAACACTGTCAGCACATCCTTATTGGTACACTGTGGTTCTAAAAAAGCATTATTTCTTTTATTACTGCTTTCAATTGCTACTTAACCTGATGATATACCTATTAGCTTCTTCTCTATTTAGGAATTCTCTTAACTAGGTGAGATTCTTAGAGATCCTAACATGTCACCTTCCTCCATGGAACTTTCCGCAGTGCCCAAATTCTCAGTAACTGTTCCCTTTTAGATTCACAATCTAAATTTGACACCAACTTGCATTGCCCTAATGTTCTTATATGTATGCATAGGTGTTCTCTTTCCAGTAGGAACAGTGTTTAGAACGTACATCTTCATAAAAATGTCCCACCAATTTTTGTAAAATATTAATTAGCCATAATGAAAAACTGACCACACTGGTTGCTCAAGGGAAAGTCCTCATACCTTTGCTATCAAGATTACATAAAGCCAACAGTTTGACCAGTATTCCTAAAACATGGAAATAATTTTCTTAAAATCAAAAAATTAACCTTTGCTCAATTTTCCTTAGTGTTTTAAAAATCAACACTATATTTCACACGAACAGAATGATTAATATCCTTGATATTCCCTAATATCCATTCATCTCTCTACTTGTCCCAAGGTTTCCCTATCAAATACACACCAAACAACTTAACTCCTTAAAACAAACAAGACTATCTTCCCATTCCCTGTAAAATGGCTTATTCATGAAAAAAGTCATGGGCCAGGGATGTATTTCAGTGGTACTTGCCTTGTTTGTGTGAGGTCTGGGTTCAAATACTGGCACCATCAAAACTAAGTCAGAACCATGTCTAGAGCTTTTCAAAATAATTAGCAACCTAAACCCTCCCAACTGAATCAGAAGCAGAGGTTATTTCATATCCATTCTGCATTTTTGCTTGCTACTATAAACCAAAAAGACTCCAGGAGATAGTCTGAGATACCACCTTAGAGGCATTATATCTTCCTTTTAGAGTTCGTCACTGGGCTGTTTAGTACAGTCATCATAGCTCTAAGCGTAATCTCTCCAGCTAACTTTTTTTTTTAAAAAAAAAGGTCTGTGAGGGACTGGAAAGACATTATAAGGATTAAAGTGCATGTCCTGCATGTAGTCCACCCCAGTTCGACCCCAGGCATCACATGGTCCTCTGAGTATAGTCAGTTGCAGTCCAAGAAATTCCTGAGCATCACCAGGTTGCCCAAGGATTGTAGGGAGAGGCCCCCAGGCCTATTGAGTGCTGCTTGGGAGTCTTAAAAAATAAACATAAAGAGACTGTGATATTATTTAAAATGTTATTAGCATTATAAGATTTATCTTCACATGTAAAATTTTTTATTTTCAAAGACTGACCTGCCAATACTAGATAATGGCATTTTAACTCAATTTTGCCATAGCTGTTTTGAGAAGAAATACTGTACTAAAACTTTTAACTTGCTGCTTCAATTTTCTTTTCATTTTAATGACTTTTACTGAGCATCCTCATTTAGGGCTCACTTTTTTATTCTCACTACATATAAAATTCGATTGAGATTAATCACTTACATCAGAAACCTAGAAACCAAAGTATCTTTCAACTCTGTAAGGCATATGTGCATATGTTTGCTTAAAAAAAAATAAAAGTGCTTTCCTCATTCTTTGCTATAGCCACCCAAACATGTTTGAAATTAAATAAAGGCCACAAAACTTCTCAAGGAAGAACATTAAAAAGAAAACATTCTCTCTTTTAGACCACAGCTGGCCTCTGAGATCTGCCAGCCAAGAAGAAAGGTATCAACCATGGTAATGAAAAGGATGGATCTTTCCTTCTTTGGGTTGTAGCTGAATTTCCACTGGCGGTCTTAGTTAACTCTAAAACCCCTCATTTGTTCTGAGCAAGTCTTTTTTCCAGCTTTCCTTCAAACAATGTCTTTACTCTCCCATTAGAATGTGAGGATTTGGAAAACTTCAACAGTAAGGTTCTGGGGGTAGTCTCTTTAAATCTTGTGTTGGCTTTGCAGAAAGAAGGAGAGGGAGAGATATGAGAATGGCAGGGGGAGAAGGGTGAAAAGAGAACTGTATCTTCATCAAGAGCACTGGAAGAACACAAGCTTTTCAAAGTTGTGGCCGATATCTCATGAAGACCCAGGCTACTACCATGGTGAAGGCAAACACTGGCAACAGCACCATGGACATGGGAATCCCAGCTGGTTCTCCATCACCTCGATTTCCTATTGGCCCATTCTGCACCTGTGACTGAAAGGAAGGGAAAAATGTTATGTACTGACTGTTGTCTAGATTTTAGATGAAATATTACCTGTATCTATGTCCAGTCTCTAGAATACTGTAAACCACAAGCACTGTCTAGCAGGAATTCTCTATCCTGAATTGATACACCAGTGTCACCAATTTTTTGTTTGTTTTTGTTTGGGGGTCACACCTGATGGTGCTCAGGGGTTACTCCTGACTCTGTGCTCAGGAATCAATCCTGGTAGGCTTGGGGACTATATGGGATGCCAGGGATCAAACTCGAGTCAGCCACATGCAAGGCAAGTGCCCTACCTGCTGTACTATCTCTCCAGCCCCATTGAGTCACCATTTCTTAGTGGGAAAAATAAGCCTGAAGAAACACTGCTCTGCAAAAGTCCTAAAGGGACCGCTGAGGGTAAATAAAATAACCTCGTTCAGTATACAAACTGACTCCCTCAAGCTCTATCAGGAAAAGATAAGAGATAAAATCTATTGGTCCTATAAGAAAACTTAAAGGGGCTAGAGCGATAGCACAGCGGGTAGGGCGTTTGCCTTGCAGGCAGCCAACCCAGGTTCGAGTCTCAGCATACCATATGGTCCACTGAGCACTGTCAGGGGTAATTGCTGAGTGCATCGCCAGGAATGACCCCTGTGCATCGCCAGATATGACTCAAAAAGCAAAAAAAAAAAAAAAAGACACCTTGAAATTACTGACCTTAGATTAAATTCAAGAATTTTATTTTTAAATTTTATTCATTTGTTTATCAGTTATATATGCCTATACCGCATGTACGAATGAATCATATCTTTTCCTTCTGATATTTTACATTGTCTAATCCCCTTGAGCTCCTTCCACTATGCTGCAAATTGCATCTTTTTTAATAGGTGGATAGTATTCAATTATATAAATATATCATGTCTTCATGATATTTTCTCAATGGCATTTTGTTTTTTTCCATATTTTAGCACTGTAAATGATGCCACAACACCTGCTGGGGTAATATAACCTTGTATTAAATGTTTCTGTATTCTTTTAATAGAGAAAAACTGGATCACATCACATTTTTAAATAGCATAGGAAGTTCTATACTTCTGTATCAAAAATAATAGCACTAATTATAATCCCATCAATATCATGCAAGAGTTTCTCTTTTTCTCTCTCTCTCTGTGTGTGTCTCTCTCTCTCCCTCTCTCTCTCTCTCTCGCTCTCTCTCTCTCTCTCATGCATGTGTTTGTGTTCTGTGGGGTCTGGGGAGGGTGGGGTGGAATACACACCCAGTGATGCTTAAGAGCTATTCCTGGCTCTGTGCTCAGAGGTTATTCCTATCAATGCTCATGAGACCATATATGGTGCCAGGGACTGAACACATGCTGACAGCATGCAAGGCAAGTGTTCCACCACTGTACAAGAGTTCCTTTTCTCCCCATATTATCAATATTTCTAACTGTTCATTTTCTTTTTTTTTTTTTTTTTTGGTGGAGCGGGGGTGAGGGGTAGGGGCTTGCCACACCTGGTGATGCTCAGGGGTTACTCCTGGCTGTGCACTCAGGAATTACTCCTGGCAGTGCTTGGGACCATATAGGATGCTGGGGATGGAACCTGGGTCAGCAGTGTGCAAGGCAAACACTGTACTAATTCTCCAGTCCCTAGTTGTTCTTTCTGTGGTGATCGGTTCTCTTAAGTATGACATTATCTCATTAGGCCTTTGATTTGCATTTCCTGATAATCAGCGATGATGCACATCTTTTCATAAGCCTGTCAGCCATCTATCTGTCTTCACTGGAGAAGTATCTATTCAACTCTTCTGATGATTCTTTCCACTGGATTCTGTTTATTATTGCTGTTAAGTTGTGTGGGTTTTTAAAATGCCTTGAGTATTAACCCCTTCTTGAATATACAATACCCAAGTATCTTTTCTCATTTGGTGAGTTACTTTCTCTTCTATTTAAATTCTCATTTGCTGTATTAAAGTTTTTCAATTTAATGTAGACCTTCTCTTTGAAATATGCTTTTGCTTCTCTTGCTGTGAGAGTCAATTTCTCCCCCTCCTCTACCCCACCCCAAATTTCTCTCGAGTGATGCCATCTTCTATGTAGCTTATTTTGGGGTCTTACACCAGGTCTTTAATCTATCAAATATTAATTTTTGTACATGGGGATAAAAAATGGTCCAATTTCATTCTTTTGCATATAGCTGTCCAGTTTTGCCAACACCATTTGCTGAAGAGATTATCTTTCTCTGTTGTATCTTTATTGTGTGGTACTGGATCTTTTGACACTAATTAGCCACCAACAAACATGTGGGTTTATCACTGGACTTCAATTCTATTCCATTGATCTGTGTTGATTTTCATTACAATGCAATACATCGTTAATTATTGTTGCTTTGTAGTATAATTTGAGGTCAGGTAGCTTTTTTTTTCCCCTCTCCGGATTGCATTAGCTATATAGTGTCTTATAATTCTATACAAACCTCCAGGGCCTAAGACATACACGCAGGAGACATGTATAGAGCCCAGGTACCTAATGTTCCCCTAAGTACCACAGCTGTGTTCCCTTAAGTACAACCAAAGCACAGAGCCAGGAGCAGTCCCCAAGCAACATCAGGTGTGTCCTCCAAATCCTCCCCAAACAAGAAACTCAAAGTCTTTTTGGTTTTTTCCTTAAAATCTATCACTGGTGTTTTAATTGGAATTGTATTAAGTCAATCTAATGTTTTTAGTAAAACTGGTATTTTAGCTAAATTAATTTTCCTCATATGTGAACACGGAATGTCTTTTGGTCTTTCTTTTAACAGTGTATTTTAACAATGTCTTGCTGTTTCATTATACAGGTCTTTCTCCTAAACATTTCATTCTTTAGGACACATTGTAATTGGATAGTTTCCTTAACATCTTATGCATCTTTGTTATTTGCAGGCAGTAACGCAACAACAACAGATTTTTGAGTATTATTAACTTGCCTTATCTATTTTATAAATTCTTTTATGATTTAGAAACAAAAATGAGTCAAGGCAGAAGCAACTGAGACTCAAAGTTGTCTCCTATGGACTTGTTTTTTCCAACATACCCAGATTCTGTTTGTAACTCTGGTTGTTTCCTCGGGAATCTTTCAGGTCTTGCTCTTTCTACAGTTTTTACTATCTCCTTTTGAACTCTCTTCTTCATCTCTGAAGTCTCACTGAGGAGCTGAGTCATTAATGTAAGAGGGAGTAACTATTTTTTTGCTGGGGGTAGGGGGTGGCTCACACCGAGCAGTTCAGGTTTTCCTGAACACTGGCTCTGGGTTCAAGAATGACACCTGGTGGTGTTCAGGGGACCAAAACGTGACTAAAAGTCAGTAGTCCATGTGTAAAGCAAGAGCCTTAACCCTTGTATGATTTCTCTAGTGCAAGAGGAAGTTATTTTAAAGATATAATAAAGATTGGTAAATGCACTCCAAAACCATTTGCACTATGGGAGAACTATATGTACCCAGATCTCGTCCCATAATTCAAATGATAAAATATCAAAAAAAGTGATTGATACAGGGATAGGCACTGCCTGGACTAAATTCTGAATTGTATTTCTGTTTTCCTGGAGCATTCCTGGACCTTCCGAGAGCCTAATCAAAGTCACAAAGTAGATAAGAAAAACACTCAGGATAGTGATACGAAGAAGCAAACAGCTGGTGTCAAAAAACTCACCATTCACATTTAACATTTTATAAATAAGAAGGGCAGGAGAGAGAGTATGGGAAGTAAGACAATTTGCCTTGCATGTGACAGTGGTGACTGACCCTTAGCACTGCTAAGTGTGGCCCCCCAAACCAAAAAAAAAAGTTCTCTAAATCAGGATGTTCAAGTGTAGGCATACATTTTCTACCCTATTGAAAAGTAATTTTTGGTTGAGTACTTGCCTCCCATCAATCTTCACAAATCCTTAAGACACATTACTTTGATGCTCCACAATATCCATAGCACCAAAACATGATGTCAAAGTCAATGCTGATTATACCACAAGGTTTATTTTCTAGATTGGTTCAAAAAGTCTGATACCAGGTTGCTGCCTACACATGACACTTACCCTATGCTGCACTCTCAGAGACACGGCATAGCCTGCATTTCGAAAGAGGTCTACAGCTTCCCGGTGCAGGAGGTTCTTTAGATCTTGGCCATTAACCTGTCAAACACAACAAGGAAAAGCAGTAAGAGAGGTAGAAAGCAAACTCTCATAAGGCAAAGTGATTTACTGTGGCAGGTATTTTATGTGACAAAACACTTAGAAAGTGGGATAATTAATTTAGAACTTAGTAATTATTTTCATTTCCAAAGTTATATTTTACAGAACTAAGGTTTCATGAGCCACCTGAAGGGCACCTTAGTTTTTGAAAAGGTAGTCACTTCTTAGCTCCTATTCAACCCCTTGTTTTAACCCTTGGGATTTAGTTATTGTGTTTATGTTTTCCATAGCTATCAATTTCCTTTCCTATAGCTAAACTTTCTTTCCTATAGGTCACCTACAGCTTTCAGGTTACTACTCTGCCCTTTATAGTTCTGGTTCCTGGCATTACCAGTGTCAGCTCTAGAAACATAACTCTATGAACTCTCCCATATTTTTTTTGATGGGGTGTAAATGTATTAGTCCATTCAATTGGTCTTACTGGATGAGGAAAAATTCTCCTTGATTCAATGGACACTACATCCTCAAACTTACTGGAAAACACATTTTGGCGATGATAATAATTCCTAACTAATGCTTCAGTATAATCCTGCCTAGCACTTAAAGGTGAATAATATGAAGGACTACTGACATTCCTATCTTTTTTAGTGTCAGAAATGACACTGCCCATAAGTGACAGTTGTTCTATGCTGCACTTAAGGCACACTCTACATTAAAATTATACATGTCAATGCCATCAACACAGTAGTGTCTTAACATTTTTTTATTCTATTCTACATACTTTACATACATATGTAATTTAAGTCTCACAATAATCCTATGAAGTGGAAGCAATTTTAACCTTGAATTCACAGATGAAGAAACCAATGCTTTAGCAAGGTTAAAAAATTTACACAAAGTTACGGTAAATGTAGGAGCTGGGTCTAAAGTTTTTAATACCAGAAGTTCAAAATGACCTTGCACTTAATTGTCCTTTCTGTGTTTTCATTCCTACACCCTGACTTAACTATTTTCTGTTCACCTGAAATTCAAGCCTTTAACTCATTAAACCCTTATATGTTCCTTCTCCAAGAGATTCAAAATCATTCCTTCATTTTAGCTCTTGCCAATCCCTCAGTAAATTAATCTACCAACAATTTGGCCTTATAGACTCTCTACTTTTCCAGAACAATATTTTCTAGCTCATTTCCATTTTAGTCAACTACTGGCATTAGCCCTGGACTTCAACATTAGACAAGCTTCAGTCCCAGTATCTCAGACTCTTAAAAAACTAACCACAACTTTTATTTTCTCCAAACTTCTTATTCCTATACAGACTTTCCTCTATCTTCATCTAAGTGTTTAACCCCCCTTTTTCAGACTTTACTTGCATTCTTATTCATCTAGGATTTCAACGAAGTTCTTAGGGAACAATTAGGAATTTCCTACCCCAGATTTTCGGCCCTTTTTCCAGTTCTGGGCAACATAATGCATTTAATTTCCTTGTAATCACTTGGTTTAATATTCTGCAAGAGAGGTCACTCTCCTCACACACAGTTAACTCTGGATGGCTATTGCTATAGCCTTGTAACTCTTCAATTTCTCTAAGATAACTTTATGATAACAGATCCAGACCTTTTCTACCATCAACCCCTAACTTCAATTCTGTCTTTCATCAGGTTGACTTGCCTCATCACTCTTAAAAATACGGAGAATTTCTCACATTGTATCTATTATCTTTTCTAATATCCATGCCCTGCCAAGACAGCTTGATATTCTCACTGCTACTTTTACCTTATCTCAAAACTAGGTTTAACTCCTTAATTGAGGTGAAAACATCTATGAAATACTCAATCATATTTTCTAGCCTCACTGGGCATTTTTTAGCCTCAAGATTTCAAGCAATCATATTTTCTAGCTTCATGATTTCTAGCAATTACATTTACTAGCTTCATTAGGCATTTTCTAGCCTCGAGATGTAAGTTCTACTACTTAGATCTTTTGGTTCTTAATTATTATCTTGGATTTTTTTCAATTTAATATGCCAAGTCCCCTAAGAAACGGTCTCAAGTTATCTTCCCAGTTTAATTTCTCATTATTCCCTTTCATAAATCCTTTGCTCTAGTAAAAATTGCAATAACTCACTAACCTCAAAATAAAACATTGTGTGGGGGTCCGGGGGGGCTAGAGTGTTAGTACAGAGGTAAGATGCTTGACTTATGTGGATGGCCCCAGTTCAATCCCTAGCACTGAATAGAGTCCCAGAGCCTTGCCAAAAGTGATCCCTGAACAACAAGCCAGGGGTAAACCCTGAATACCACTAGGAATGCCCCCCACCACAGCAAAGAAACATAAAACAGATGTCATCACATTCACATCCACAACAACAGTACTAAAAAAACACTCTTCCCTTAAAAAAACTTAAGTAATCTAGTCCAAGTGATAACTACATTTCTCACTGTAAAAAAAAAGAATAGGTGTTTAATTTTCTCTTAGAGGCAGATAAGAAAATTGATGTCAAAAAAGTAAAAGAAGGGTGCTGGAGCAATAGCACAGCAGGTAGAGCATTTGCCTTGCACGCAGCCAACACAGGTTCGATTCCCAGCATCCCATATGGTCCCCTAAGCATTGCCAGGAGTGATTCCTGAGTGCAGAGCCAGGAGTAACCCCTGAGCATCGCCGAGTGTGACCCAAAAATCAAAAAAAAAAAAGTAAAAGAAAAAGATTGAGCTCAATATCAAATCAAATTTCAACGTAATGTTAACTCAAACTGGAGGACTCACTACGTGATATTTAAACACAGGACCCTTGAGCTCAAAATAAGTTTTGTCAGAGTAGACAGTAATAGCTGTCTGAAAACATAATGATGCCGTCTACACATTTTACAAGTAGTATATCATTCATTCTTCAAACAATTATTTTAAGTCAGATATCCCTATTAGGTGAAAAAAATAGAAAGGCTGAGTTAGAGAACTAGTTCAGAGGGTTAGAGTGCATGCTTTTTATGCTGAAGCCTTGGATCTGATCCTTAGCTGCCTAGTTTCCCCAGCACTGGGTAAGAAAGATCTCAAACACTGAACCAAAAGTAACCACTAAGCACCAAACTGGGGCGAGCTCCTTTTGGGAGTGGGGAGTGTCACAGCTGGGGATGCTCAGAGACTATTTCTGGCTCTGCACTCAGAAGTCACTCCTGGCAGTTGTTGGGAGGACGACTAAGATGCAAGGGATTGAGTCCAGCTCCAGTGCATGCAAGGCAAGTACCCTACTGCCATACTATTGCTTCAGTCACTGAGAGTAGTCCCTTAAGCACAACTAGATGTGGCCCCCAAACATACAAGGGTCAGAACAGATCAAGAGACTGGAGCAAATGTTTTGTATGCAGGTGCCCTGGGTTTGGTCCCTGGGACTAATATGGCACCCTAAGACCCAAGAGGAGTAACCCCTGGGCACAAGCCAGGAGTAGACCCTGGGCACTGCTTGATATGGTTCCCAACCAATAAAAACCAATAAAGTTAACTCGAAACAAAACAAAACAAAAAAGGAACAAAAATGAAATGGCTATACAACTTGTCCACAGGCATAAAGAATGGAAGCAGCAAAATCAGAACTAAAACTGAAGTAGTCTGGCCCCCAACTTTCACTCTGAAACATTAAACTATGGAAATTTACATAGCAAGGATTTTATTTCAACAGCATGCCACTACTCATTAATGTTATAATGGGATTTTTTTATTGGTTTTACAGTTTCATCTATAAATAACATTATACATTTAACAAAAGTTTTAGTTATGCAGTGACAGCATACTGATATTATCTTTATTGATTTACAATACTGGGTGTTCAAATTAAAAGGCCTTTCTATTTCTTCACTTAATCACTTAACTTCCCGTTAGTCGTCGATTTGCTCGAGCGGGCGCCAGTAACCTCTCCATTTGTCCCTGTCGCGTGCGAGTGTAGCCCAATGGCATCTGTTCGCTCTGGGAACATGAAGAGCCTCAAACCAATCGTTCATAATCTTGATGAAGAAGTCTGACCATCTGGTAGGTGGGTAGCCACGCGGTCTTTTGACATCCCGTGGAATCCAGTCGGTAACAGCTCTAGTCCAGTGGTCGTCTTTAAATCTCATTACGTGACCAGCCCATCTGATTTTTGACACCTTAGCAAATGAGACAGCGTCCCTGATTCTTGATCATCGACGGATGTCGGAACTCCGGATTCTTTCTCTCATTTGAGTGAAACGTGATATTCCAAGCATAGCTCTTTCAATTCTTCTTTGGGAGACCTGAATAGCAGTCTCATCCTGTTTGTGTAGGGCCCAGGTCTCTGAGGCATATGTTAATGCAGGAAGAACAGTGGAATCAAAGAGATGTGCCCGGAGCCGGAGGTTCTTCGTCCTCTTAGCTATTTCTTCGAAGTTCTTGAAGGCGTTCCAAGCCGCTCTCTTCCTCCTGCGCAGCTCAGGTGCCAGGTCATTTGTCATGTTGACCTCTCGACCTAGGTACACATAGCTGTTGCATTCGGAGATGGTCGTTCCATTGAGAGCAAATGGGGCATCAGGAACGAGGCTGTTTCTCATAAACATTGTCTTCGTAAGATTCAGCTGTAGTCCTACCTTTCCACACTCACGGTCAAAGTCGGCCAGCATTTGTGCTGCTTGGCTGATGTTTGGTGTTATTGAAACAATGTCATCAGCAAAGCGGAGGTGGTGTAGTTGCCGACCATCTATCTTCACTCCCATTCCTTCCCATTCCAGTCGTCGCATGATGTTCTCGAGGGTGGCACTGAAGAGTTTCGGTGAAATGGTATCACCCTGCCGAACCCCTCTCTTGACATCAATGATTACTTCTTTGTAGAATGGTGAGATCCTGGTAGTGAATCCGCAATACAGCTCACGGAGGATCTTGATGTATTGTGCTTGAATGCCCTGATTGGCTAGGGCTTCAATGACCGCTTCCGTCTCAACAGAATCAAAGGCCTTCTATTTAATTCCACTTTCTATTTAATTCCACTAAATAAAAACA